AATTAGCAAATTAATTATTGGGATGGAAATGCGAAACAGTCCGCGCGAGTACCTTTTTGACGCTGCATGATTACGAAGTAATTAATAAAATTGCTATCTATTAGAATTATTAGAAGAATAAGGAATTCTACCAGATAGTTTATTCCCCATAAGCGCATAATATTATTTAATATGAAGTAATATTTTAGGCATATTCTTAGAATATTAAATGTAACATTTAAAAACTATTTTACTAAAATTATATAATATTACATGATATTCTCGAAATATTGGAAGGTTATATGTCCACTCCTGATAATATTATATTATATGATTATTAAAAGTAACATTTATTTAATATTACTGTAATATCGTATAAACATTAAAAAGTATTATAATATCATTTACTTTATTTTGTAAAACTGTTACATCTGTTCAGTATAAGTATTTAAAAACTGAAAATGATTTCAGTGCATAATTGTAGAACTGGATATGTACTTATAATAAAATCATGTCGAAACGTTTTTTTAGCACATGATACAGCATAGACTGGTAAGAACTTTTCGTTACTGGATTGTGAATTCAAATTGCACAAAATTAAAAACAATTAATATTTATAAGTATTTTAATAATATTTCAGGAATATTAAGATATAATACCTAGGGTGTATATATAAGTGGATATATATAACCTCTATAGAATATACTCCCGTAATATATTAAAAAAATATTTATGCTATTCTCTAAATATTATAATAACATTACTTTAATTTTTTTTTTTAATAATATCCATATAACATTCTAGGAACATTTTGCGCTAATAGGATTCTTATACAATGCTTTTATAGATATTTATGTGAACAAAATAGTCGTTTTTTATACACAAATTACAAAGAACATGCATGTTCCCCAAATAACACAAAGTCTAAAATTATGACATAAGACGTCTTTAAGTCGTCTTTTAGACGTAAAAAACGTTTTATGACCCGATTTTAGACACTTTTTGTTGTCTTTAGTTATTGATTATTTTAATTTATTCATAATTAATTAACCTTTCGAGGACCGGAGCTTTCACAAAGAAACTTGAAGAAGACCTCGTTTTCTAAGGAATTTCGCTGAATTTAATTCTGCTTTCAGAATTTTTTAATTAAAATTCTATAAAAATAATCTGATTATCGTGAAACTCGGTTTTTAGATTCTTATTATAAGAGTTATATCCTTTCATCTACAAAGGGTTAATTAACAAATTAATTATTTGACGAATTAAAATGCAAAATGATTCGAGTCATCACTTTTTAATTAAATAGTGAGTAATAATTAAAAAATTGTAGCTATCTAAAAAATGTCAGAATATTTGAAGGATTTTTCAAGTTCCTTTCTGACACTTTTATGATATTTTAGATGACATTTGTGCCATCAAAACAGTCGTTTCGGACAGATTTCAAGAGGAACGAATTTTTCGAAAGGCTTCTCATCGCTACCCGCATTTGTCATTGTTCTCAGGAAAATGAGCGGCTTTTGTGCCGCTGGCTTTCGGCCCAAGTTGATTGACCTGTAACCACATCGGATCCCAGTAAGACGGAGCCCATTAGCCGCTGCCGACCGCCGTCGCATTGTGCTGGTCTCGTTCCTCCGGCGTGTGTGCGTGCATGCGTGCTGTACGAGATTCATTCATACACGAGGCCCGCGCATCTCGCATTCGCCTCACGCACGTCGCACGCACGCACACGCGGGGCCCGAGCATCATCCGCGACGATCATCGTCCGCGGTGCGACAGGGCAGGAAGTCGCAACTGTCGCCCACGTCTCTCTCTGCGCGGGAAACGGGAATCGCGGCAAAAGGTGAGAATTCGCGGTCACCTGTCTCTCTCGAAAGAGAGAACGGCTCGTTTTTTTTTCTCTTAATCACTCGTTCGTTCAATGTGGTGTAACAGGTGATATGAAGGCTGCAGAATTGCGAAAGAGAATTTCGGTATTGACATGTGATTTTTATTTCTTTTTTAATTCTCAATCGTGGATCTAGTTTTTCTATTCAATCAATCTCTTTATCAATCAAAATCTTTGAAGTGGAAAACTAAAATCTAACATTTCACTTTTAAAAATTGACAATTAAGCCACTCTTTTTCAACATTGGCTCAATTGTCATCCTTTGTCATTCTTTAAAATTAGATTCCACTTTAAAGATTTTAGATGAAGTAGATAGAAATGGTAAACAATTCTATTTTCTTTATGTTGTATTCGCAAAGTTGGATTATTTTTGTTAAAATATAAATTTATTACAGTATTAATTCTTTTTTATGCGAATTATAAAAAACTATCATTTGGGTTCCTTAAATTTCTTATTTAAATTAGTGCCTTTCAATTAACATAAATTAAATTCTACACTTTTTTTAAGGGACATCCCGTCTGTATTGTTGGGGTTTTAGACACGTCAGCAACTATGTTAATTTTGGCGTCAGCTCCGGAGGATTAATTAAAGGACTATTCGAAGGTATTCATTTATCTACCAACTAAAGAATTAAATACAAAGGTCGGTTAATCGATTCACTATTATTTTTTCAAGCAAAGGTTTTTCAAACAAATATTTGTGATCGTCTTCCTTGTATTTTCTTTTGTGTAAATTTTGTAGAAACTTTATTTTCGTTGAATAATTTTTTTAGAAAGTTGACGTCAGAAATATTAACAGATTTTATGTAGAAACATTATTCAGATGAAAAATATACTTCGTGCTTCTTTTTAATGCCTTTTTTTGGGCGAATCGATTTATCATTGTTTCTCCAAACGGGCAAAATTATATTTATGGCTTCTTTCTTGCAGGTTTTGTGTTTGTTATGTAGAAATACTATTTTTGTTTATTAATTAATTTTTTCCAGAAATTTGACATAAGAAATATTAACAGATTTTGTGTAGAAAATAATTGAAATTGGGTATAATTTGATATTATGAATTTAACACGCCCTCCCTTATAGAAATCTACTGGTTAATTAATTATAGAGAGATAGTAATTAAATCTCGAGAAAAATATTATATTATATATGGACATATTTTATATATAATTGTATATAGGGATATTTATTTGGAATACTAAAAGTATATACAGAACAACAGTGCTTTTAATACTCAAAATAAGTAATTAATTACTGTCATACTTTCAATATTGGCCAGTAGATTTCTCCCTTATAAAAATTTAATACTAATACACTGGCCAATTAATCACTTCTTTTCAGTATTAAAAATACTTTTAACAATACCTTTGATACTCAATAAAATAAGTGATTAATCGGCCAGTATTAGTACTAAATTTCTATAAGGGCTGTAAGGAGTTCGAAGACCTAAAATCACCGCACCCCCGTGCGATCGTAGGAGATCTGAGAGCGATTCGCGAACGGAATGATCTCACTCACCCGCCTGGGGAAGTCCATTGTTCTGCGGTGTCTCGGAGAAACCGGGGCCCATTTAAATCGCCTCTACCACGCGGAGAGGGACACGCGCGAAGGAACAGGACGCGCGATCGCTCCGCTCGCGTATGATGCGCGGCGGCTAACTGTACACTGCGAAACAACTGATATTCCCCGGGCTCTGAAAACGAGACCGCATCGGTGCGGTGCCGTATGTCCGGAAGTGGGCCCCGGAACTCCGGCCGGCCAGCCGTGACCGGCACGGGACGAGAGCTGAGTGACCTCATGAATACATATACGTGAGCGCGGCAGGCCCCGTTGAGATGGTTGAGATCCCACTGCCGTGAGGCACAACGCACACACGTGCACACCTGTTCCGAGGTCCGCTGCCTTTCCAACGTTACCTCGCCACGGATAGATAGAGCACGGCGGTTTATTACACGTCCTAGAACACGTAATGGGCCCCTCGCGCGCTCGAGGCCCGTTCCGCTCCTACGTGCGTTGAACGCGTTCCTCGTTCAAAGAATGCAAGAAGCTGAGATAGATCTTGGCAGAATCAATGGGAATCGAATAAGAAACTGTAATCGTGATTGGAGAGACAGAGGAAGTTGAATAAAAAATGTGTAAAGACAAAGACTTCAAGCAAAAAGAAATCATTATGTCAAATATGATTCATGAAAGCCATTTGATGGAATTGTGTAAAAGTTATATGTATTCGTAAAAGTTAAATACAGACGATTCCTTTGTTCATCTTCAATATAGGATTAACAAAATAATAAGAATTATTACACGTTGAATGTTACATGCGGATATCAAAACTGATAAAATGAGGCATACATATTTTAAACAAAACTTTTATGATTTTTTATAATTTTTTATAATCGTATATTTATAGGTTTTTGAAAAGTCTAATATTTGGAAAATACTCCCAACCCCAATAATTTTTGAGGGGTCGTTTAATCCCCTAAATTTCAAATTGGACTGATTTAAAAAAATACGTATCTCTTAGAATTTTAGTGGATGTGTTAAAAAATACCATTCTTAAGGGGATACTGGAGTGACCAAATTATTACATTACAATCGTATAAAAATCTTCGAATTGACTGAACGGAATAAAAAAAACCTTTTACAGGATTAAAATTAGACGCAAAATTAGGAAATGGTGGACCTTGTACTAAAATCGAAAAAAAGTTAAAAAATTTTTTAACATTCTTTCGATTTAAGTATAAAATCCACTGCACCACCTCCTAATTTTGCATCTAATTTTAATCCTGTAAAAAGTTTTTTTATTCCGTTCAGTCAATTCGAAGATTTTTATACAACTCTGTAATGTGATAATTTCACTCCAGCATAAATGTATGTAAAATTAAAATGAAGTTTTTGTTACTTTTTTTATAGAGTTGAAGTTATTTAAGTTACGAAAGATTGAAGTTGCACAAAAGTTTTACAATCATCCTATAATAGAAATAACATAACAATATACATACGTAACATAGTTAATATTTAGTTATCTTTTTTTTAGCAGATGTAAAAAATAATATTCATTTTTTTTAAGTTTTATATCACATTATATACATACAAGACGTAAATATAGATATACATTATTCTTTGAACTATTCTCTGTCTAATCTCAGCACAGGAGAGTCTCTTTTAATCGGGCATCGAGCTTCCTGAAGCCATATAAATTCAGTTCGATCCGGTCCTTGAAACAAAGTGCGCTCGCTGCGCATTTTTCCCTGACAGCTCGAAGGCGGCAAGCGAGGGATACGAGTCTCGTCGACAAATGTCAGAGGGCTGCCTCCGTATTACCACCCTTCGACGGCGCGAGGATGGATTGGCGAAACGAAGAATCGGATCAATCGAGCGGTACATCGAGGTAGAGAGACGCTCGTTGTGAACCTCCTTGTAACATACAACGTGCACTTTCTCTTTCCGGACAGTCGAGAACTTGAAGTGGGATGAGAACGATCATCCCGCGGAGAGGACGAAGGATGCTGTCGCTGCTGCAGTTCTGGACCATAACGTTTGCTCCCAAGGAGTTCAGGTTTATTGAAATGTTAAAATTAAACATGTTCATAAATCAAATTTCTCAAAGCAATTTAATTCCATCTATAATTATAACTATAACGATTTTATTTAATTATTGTTATTTAGTTCCGATTTTTTAATTAAACCAATTTTATTTTTTACTTTTTTATTTTGATTTTAAATTAAAACGTACAGATAAATTTTCAATGAATTGACAAATATAAAAAAGATATATAATATACATAATAATGAATTAAGAATTAAAAAATAATAAATATTACATATTATAAATTATGTATTGGAAAATGAATAAACTAATAAATATGATTTTTAATTAATTCTTTTAAAATTACGAGCTGATGTACAGTTTTTCTTTATTCAATTTTATATCCACCCAAGTGAAACACTTTAATATGAAAATAATTGCGTTTTCTTGATGAAACTGCTCTATTCAGGTTGAAATTGGGATTTGTAAGGATATTGGGAATTTTACATCCGCTTTGGAAAGTTTGGAGCTCGAGACGACGAATCACCCAGGTTTCAGAACAAATTACATGCAGACGGATTACTTCAATGATTCCGAGCAGGAGGAAACCGTTCCAGTTTTCAAGACGAGAGAAAGATCTACCTTCGAATTGGTAGTCCAGGGACCAGAAATCTTAATTTTCCAGGTATGAACGTCTTTATTTATCCATAATTTATCTATAATTTGATCTTTCAGAAAACAGATTGATTTTTCAAAACTCAGCATGTAAAAAAATATTGTCAGAGATATTAAAAAAGAATTAAATAAGTTATTCTCAAGAATATTAATAAGATATATAGTATATATAATAATATATAATATAAAAAATATACAGAACAAGAATTTAAAGTAGTTTTGTATATTTAATTTCTTATATATGGATGCATATATTTATAATACACGTATTTAATTTAAAAAGCGTATTGTACAGAAAAAAATTAAAAATTAAGGCTCATAGGAAAGGATTGAGGAAAGGATTTATCCTGCAGGGCACCAGGCATTCCCCAGCGGATATCGCACCCTATTGGAAGAAGGATTCTCGGATGTGGCTGTGGAAATCGGTCCGGCTTGCAAGGAAGCTGAAAAGTATCAAAACAAAGGCTGCTCCTGCAAACACTTTGTATCGCAAGGATCTTTCGTAGCGTATACTTTTATTCAACTGTATATACAAATTTTCGAATCGTAATTTTATTTTTTTATATTTCATTTCATTTTAATATTCAAATAATGTTGATGACTCGTGTGACATATTCTTTTATCGAATCAATTATCAAATAATAAAAAAGAAACATTAAAAGAAACATAAGAAAAACACAAGAAAAAAACATTTATACGAATTTTTGATTCCATAATAATTTAATTCTTTATGACCGTAATGAGTCTTAAAATTTGATACAGTAAAAAATATTTTTGTACTTGTGTCAAAATCTTGTTAAATATCTTTATGTTAAATTTTTAACATATTCTCGAGTGTTAATTTAATATAAATATAACTGTTAATTTTATTTAAGAGGTAATTTTTACACATAGTGTTTGTATCTTTCTTAACATACACATCTTGTGTTAAATTAATACAAATATTTGAATGGACCGTTTGGGAAACATGAAATGTATTAAATTTAATACAAATTTTTTTTCCAACTGTGCACGTCGAAAGATTTAATGAAATAATGATGCTTTAAATTTTACGTAGTAGATAGTTAAACTATCATCGAGTTTATTACAATAATATGATACACTACACATAACGGCAAAGTTAAGAGTGATATTAATCTATTCCTTTTTTCATAAACATTTGTTCTTAAAGATATATTAAACAATTTAAGAATTTGTATTCACACGATTTCTATCCTTCGATTTCATAACTAAAGTAATATCGTCGTGAAAATTAATATTAATGATAGATAATATGAAACAATCGGGTATTTACGGACATTGCAATTAACATCAGCCGCAAGTCTGAGCGCTCTTTAGTGGTGACTCTTCGTCAAGTTCCTCACCGATCTCGAAACGCGCAAAGTCGACGATTTCAGCATGCGCTGCCGCTAACAACTGCTGCACAGAGAGACTTGGATCGAGCAGGAATTCCTGGTAGATCATGCACTGCTCTTCGTCCATATTGTTGTGAGGCTCGTCCACCCGCGGGTTACCGATCTTCTGCGGGTCCATGCCTACAAAGAAGAAATAATGTGAATGTCGTCTTTTATTTTCCCAATCCAGTTATCCAAGGTGCAGTCCTTAACGCTACAAATATTTCGAAGTTTGATTGACCAACTAGAAGAAAGAATTTTACTAACTGATCAATAAAAGAATGTTTCAAAGCATTTGTAGCAAGAATATTCTTGCGATAAATGAAACCTACCAATGATATGCTGGCAGAGCTGCGTACCCAGCATATTATCGTTTTTCTTGCACTTGATGGCTATAAGGGCGCCGTATTTGCCGAAGGATATAGGTATGGGGTTCATCGGTGCCGGATGTGTGCAGCCAAATAGTGTTACATCCGGCGATCGTACACTAATGGCGAGAGCGCGCCTCAGACTGATGTTCTCGCCTACGTTGCCGATAGTCAAGGCAGAATGATCGCTCAGGGACTTGCCGTCCGCGGCTGGCAGGTCTTTGAGACTGTCTGCATGGAAAATAGTCCGTTGAACTTCGTTCTCAACGTTCTGGGATTTTGCATGATTCAATACAGCGGAGATCACTGCTTCTGCCAGGTTGTGGAACTTCTTGTTCCGCGCGACGAAGTCAGTCTCGCAGTTAACCTCAGCCAGTGCGGCATGATTTCCGTCTACCGTCACCGTGATCAGTCCTTGGCTGGTGTTGCGGTCCTTCAGCTTGGCTGCCTGGGTCCAGCCGTACTGCTGCGCCTGTTCTTTCAGCCACTTCTCTGCCTGGAGTAAGGAAGAACTAAGAGGTTCCGCCATAAGTCAATTAGAGTCACAAGACGCATACTTAGGCGGTTGTAGAACTTGTTACCTTATCCAAATCATTCTCGTGCAGTTCCAGAGCTTTCTTGCAGTTTGTAAATGTGTAACCAGTCTTCTTACGCAGCTTAGCCAGCAGAGATTTGTTTGTGGCCTGCCAGAGCAGGCCGTTTGTGTGAATCAGGCGGAATATCTGGGCCGGAATCATCTAAAAAATATATTAAATTAATGCCAATTTCTGATAATAAATAACTTATTATCAATGTATGTTAATTTAATTTTCTTTATGTTACATCTATTAAGATATCGACACTAATTATATGAAAAATTGAATTTTGATAAAATGAGTTACTCTTCATATATGTTATAGTTCATAATGTGGTGAACAAAAGATGTCAAACATAAATAATGACTCAATAATGGATAGCTTTTTAGCTACGGTTTATCAAAGGACCTCTGTGAGGATAAATTTTACCTTGGATACATCATAGATCGAAAACTATCCATTATCGATAGTATCTATGATCATCTTTTGTTCATCATATTATAAGCTACATTTCCATAGCATGTTTTATCCAAGAGACATCTAAGGAATGTCGTTAGAATGTTTAGAAGATATAATAATTAGAAGATATAGGGATGTCTTTAGGCTGTTCCTTGGAGATCTGTGCTATGTAGGATTATACGGTTGCATTCAACAAAAGCAGCTTCGTATTGTCGAAAAATTCTTTAATATAATTGATCTTGCTCTCAGTTCCTCGTTGGATCCAAATGTATAACTCAATCATATTGCAGAACCTTAAAACTTGTAAAGCTGTTTTTCTGCTGAATGTCCATGTAAAAACTAACTCATTTTACTGGGATCCAATTTTCCACATGATTATATGTACGGAGTTTTTTAGATTATTCTTATTAAAATATATTTAGTATTCATTCTTTTCACGAGTTTTGAACTTCTTGAAATTAATTAGTGCTTTTTAATTAATATGAACTAAATGGACATCACAGATCCAGTAATAAATGTATTACAGATTTTGACATCAGCTCTGAAGGATTAAATAGCTGCATCCTGGAGCTACGACGACCAACTCCGTTTGATACAAATGCAGAATATAGGAAAGAAAATGTGTCACGTAGGAAAAATCAGATCGTGTAAATTCTCGAGGAAATCGCGAGGTCATGTCGTGACATTTCGCGTCGTTCTGGGTCTCAGGTTACCGCGACAATCTAGACGCAGGTGGTTCCTGAGACATAACCTAAAAGAGAGAATCACACGCAGAATTGCTTCTCGTTGAAGGGGAGACAGGAAAGAGATGCGAATACGAGGACTGCCTTCACTCGCCGATTTCGCTGAGGTTCGTTAATTCTGCCGAATCGATCGACCACGTTGCCTAGAAACTGCGATCGAGGGTGCAGTTTGAGAATCTTCGGATGCGCATGAATGACACGCGTGGCTCGCACGAATGCGGATCAATTTGGCCTTTAATTACGCGAGATGCTAGCCTGCGAATATTCGTGGCAGATCCAGCCGATTTCGCGAATCTAGAGCTATTTCGCGGCGATCCAGCGACGCAAAACACTCACCGTATTTGAAGGTTAGAATACACCACAAATTCGTAATCATTTCTTCATTAAGAGGGCGTTTTCGGGGCCCCCATCCTGCTTTTAGTATTTGGTAAAAATTTTTCATATAATTTTTCAGAATTTTTATATAAATTTTAGAATTTTTCAAAATTGTGTTTAAACTTTAAGAAAATTTCTTAGATATTTTGTACAAATTGGAACACTTCAAAAGTGCCAAGAAAGTCTACATTTCTTTTTTAATTTTTCATGTATAATTCTGAAATATTCTATTTCTAAAAATTTTCATTCTATAATTTCTCTGTAATATAAAATCTCTGAAAAAGTTTAAGATATTTTTTCAGAAATTATAGGATAAGAAATCTTAAAAATTAGAGTATTTTAGATCTAGAATTTATACATAAAAAAGATATAAACTTTTCCAGTGTTTCTGAAAATTATAAAGTGTTCCAATTTGTATAAAAATTTTGAAAAAAATTTTCACTTGACGTGCTGTCTAAATTTTGTGGAAATATCAGTGTAAATATTTTGAAATAATAATTATTGCAATAATAAAATTATTGTATAAATATTTAGACTATAATAATTCTAAATATTGTAGTAAAAATAATTATTGTGTATCTTTTATTTAATGTTATTATATATTTTGTATGTTGTTAGAAATATATTTTATTAACACAATATAGTTTATTTATGTTTATTATAATATATATATTTTATTATAATTTACATTTATATTATAAGATAATTTAAAATGACATATTCTTTTTTAAGTACCTACGTTATATTGTATATATTTGATTATATTTTCTTATATTTTTACTATTTTATATTATATTATCTATTATATAATATCTATTATCTATACATCTCTCACTATATTATTTTCACAATATTATTGTAGTTTTATTAATTATAATACAGCATTTTTAAATAAAATATTTTATTTTTATCTGAATATATAAATTTATGAAATGAATAAACATTTATTTGAAATATATATCAAATCCATGAAACTATGTCTTAATTTTAATATAAACAATAAGTTATATGAAATAATTATTTAGTTGCATTTTACAAATATTCTATTTTAAATATATATATCTGCGTGTTTATAATTTAATGTAATTTCGCGCTTTGTCACTCGGGATTTAATTAATATTCGTAACAATTTTAAAATATTTTATTTTAGAAAGGTCGTGTATGAATTAAATTGCTTGAAATTTCGAACAGTGGTATTATATTGTATATTTTCCAGAGATATATTAGAATTCTGTTAAATGTCGCATTGTGACATTAATTGTCATAATTGCGATTGATTATGGAAGTTTCATCTCGTTCGGAGAAAACGAAGGCACGAAGGTGCGAATCCGAGGATGCGATTTGGATACCGAAGATCCTCGACACGAAAGTGGAACCGTTGTTTTCTCTGCCGTCGGACTTGATAAGTCCTAAAAGATGTAAGAGGAAAGGAAAGATACAAAAATTGCATGGCGCACCTCATACAACGAAACGTCTTCGCGAGGAGAAGTTTCGCAGGTACAAAAAGCAAATCCGAAACTTGCATGTCCAAATAATTCCGAATATTTATTCGGTACAATCAAAGTTAAAGCAGTAATTAAATTAAGTTTTCAAGTATAACGGCAGATTTAAACATGTGATACATGCAACATAAATATAATTAAATTGAATTATTTAATTTATATAAAT